CACCTTTACCACCATTGGGTGAAGTCCAATAACCCATACGATTACATTGATGAGTTTTATCATCACATTCCAATGAACATTTACCAGAATTAAAATCATCAAAGTTAGGACATGAATAACCTACATATGGACATTGATTACGAATTGAATCAGTAAAGAAATATACAGCAGCTAAATGACTACACAATGATGTTACCAAAAAGCCTAGAAAGTTTAAAAAAAATACATACATGTAAATGTATTTATATTAATTTCGGTGTTTTACCTTCAATATTCATTGTTCCGAGTTGAAGAATAAGATTTAAAATTTTGCCTGGTGTCTTTGAACAACTAGGTTGATCAAGACCACCATTAGGAAAAAAGTCAACATGACCCATTCGTTGAAAGGAACCTAAGAAGATTAAATTTTTGTAGAATATTTAATTAAGTAATTATGAAATTGTGTTATATATATATGTATATACCAAGTCCAAGAAGAAGATTATGAGCACCATCAGTATGAATAACATCAACAAATAAAGCGTCAGTTGGATCTAGACGGACAGCTGGATCAGTATTTTCAAAATAAGGACCAGCAGGATCCAATCCTATAATAATTAGACAAGGTTTAAAATAAATTTCTCTTAATGAATATTTACCAGTAATTCGACCCAATCCAGGAATTCGTGCTCCAGCATAACCTGCTGTTTGACCACCAAGAGAATGACCGATAATATGAAAGTCCGTTGCTTTCGATCCATGTTGCGCGATCAAATAATTGACAAATAAAGCAATTTCTGCACCTACTATTTGAGTATTTGCCGCTCCTTGCTCATACGGAAATCCATTTTTTTTCGACCAATCAACCAAAATTACATTAACATCTTCCTAAAATGCATAAAAAATGTAGATAGATCGATGTTAAAACTAAACTTCTTTAGATATAAATACGTACTGCATCAAGGATTGCATTTTTCAAATCTATCCACCATGGTGTATTCATGCTATCTACAAAGCCATGAATGCAAACTTTTGTTGGTTTGCTTGGACTCCATGCACCAAGAGTTGTGTAGCGACTGATTTCAGTACGATTTCTACGCGTAGCTCTTGTATATAAATAGTATTTAGTCTCGATCGCAGCATTCTACAGAAAAACAAAAAATAGATTTGAGGAAAACAAAAAATAAGAAAGAATTCATCATGAAATTGTACTCGATCAGGTAAAAGGGCAAATGGTCGTTGTAATGTTCCACCTAGTTTTGAAAAGCATTACATTATCAATAAATAATAACAACAAAATTATTTTTTACCGAATGGTTTTGACGTAGTAAAACATCCATATTCACCATAACAGACATTGGATCCTCGTGTAGCAGGAACTATATTTATGTATTTTGAAATTAATCATATTCAAATAAAAGATATACTAACCTGAAAGAGACTCTTCATCAGCATGAACTGCGAGGATAGCGAAGCATACAAAAGTAACAGCAATGCGAAATAACATCTTAGTCGATGCACACACCTACTGACTTTCCTTCTCAGGAAACGAGTGATATTATATAAAAAATTTCAATCGTGCTCAGATTATTTCGTCAAAATGGAACAATTAGCTGAGAAAAACGACCATCTGTTTGTAACACAGTATAAGGCATATAATACAATTTTTTTTGTTGTTTTTTTATTTTTCTTAAGATAACAAGTCAGATAAGCCAGCCCGTTTTCTTTTACGCCATGGCTTTTTTTGCAATCATTGCAGGGTAAACTATCAATGTACCATTATAAAATAAATTGAAAAACTAAATAATCTTTTCGACACAAATATAAAATGTATATGAGAAATACTAAGAAATCATTCATACAGGACTTCCAGGTAAATGAAGGAAGAGAGTCTAGCATTTCTGAACATCCAAACACTTACTATGAATGTGTTTCTATTTGTTTTTTCACACAACTATCGGCGAAATTTTGAATCTTAGTTTTGAAGAGAATTTTTAAATATGAAATGAAATGAATAAATCAGTTGAATATAAATATAGCATTATGATAGTTCAAGATTATGCTACATTGAGCAGATAGTCATTTTGTGGAATAATAATATCAATATTGTTATAATTTCGAGTAACATTTGTGTAGAACTGCATTTTTTGTTTTTATTATGTTCTACTTGTTAAAATAGAATGTATTTAATAAAAAAAAAACTTTACAATAGGTTATATTTTTTGTTCGTGGCTTGTGAAATGTATATTTATTCATTTCTAATGTTGATATATTTATTTAATGTAAAGGAAGTGGTGTATTTGAATAAACAGGCTCTTCCTGAAAAGTTGTTATCTTTTCTTCACATGGGACATCAGGCTTGCAACTTGTAGGATTTTTTCTTTACCGGCGTCAGCATCGATCTAAACCAGTCAAAGTGGATCGGATCCATCAGTAGACCAACATAAGTCCTTTTTCAATTTTCTCATCTTGTAATAGTCAAATCAATCTCTAAATCACTATCAAAATAAAGCAAGACTCCCATTTCACTATTATAGTGTTTTTGTGAAACATGATTGCTAAGGAACGCTGAAGTGTATGGCGAGAAAATTGAACCTATCTTCTCTAACTTGTTCCAAAGACTACGACAAATATGCCGATGTTATTTTACCCTGCTGACAGACTGTGACAAAGATGTCGATGTGTCTATAACGGCCACGTAGGTTTTTCAACATGCTAGTTTTTGACCTCGTCATGGTTTGTCATATAGATGATGAGATTTTCTACAATGGTTAAAGTAGCTCCATCATGTTTAATATTTTAACCCTATAGGGACTCGCTTGGTATGTATCAATGAACAGAAAATTTCATAGGACTACAAATTCTATATTAGATTTATACATTAATTAAATGTTTATTAGACATAAAAATTATGAATCAACTGTACTCTGCTTTTCACAATGGATTTACTTTGTTATCTCTTATGTCTCTACGAAAGATGTCATATAAATAATATAAAATGAAAATAAATATATAATAAATTACAATGACGAACAATGATTTTATTTTATTTTATTTCGATAATGTAACTTGATATCGAAATGAGTTAATAACATATATATGAAGCGTATATTGATGAATATTCATTTAATAAAAATATTCTAATGGATATTTCCTCACACAAATAGTCATTGACATCAGTAAGAATAGTTTGATTTGCAACAAAATAAAAAACATGCAAAAATCTATAATGATCGTTTACCATTCTGCTGAACGTCCAAGAGAGAGGAGACGGTTGATGAAACTGAACAAAGGAGAAGGAACAGGGTCAAAGAGTGCAATTTTTATTTGGACGTCCTGTATAAATGACACTTAACTTTAGCCTGCATTCCGAAATATTTTCTCGACATGAATTATAATTTTCAAAATAAGCCTAAAGTATAGCATGTAAAAATCTGTAATTTTAATCGATTTCAACACGAATCTAAATTTTTTTTTGATTGTAATCATTGTATCAAATATATATATATATATATATGTTTTTCTAATGAATTTTCATTTTAACATCAATATTTCATACATTATATTAGTCATGTTCATTGTCAAAAAGACAAACTGTCTCTTATTAAAAACAAAAAAGTTTAAGATTTTCAAACACAAAAAAAAAGTGAAATAGAATGATTTTTGTCGTTCAAAATTGCAATAATTATTTCAAATTTCTATTCTGTAAAAGAATACGATGAAAATGAAGAAAGATATTCTTCTACAAACATTTTTTGATCAACTAAAAATAACTTTAAATTCGCACATTTATAATTTCTTGTTAGGTTTTTTAATATATGTTCACAAGCACACACACACGTACACAGAAAAGAAATGCACAACAAGCTAACAAATCAGACAATTATGAAAACAAATATGTTAATAAGGTTTAGGACGAACACCAGTTGGATTAATATAATTACCTCTAAAAACAAACAAATAATAATAAATACATATATATATATATATATATTAAAATAATACTTGCCTATTTAAAGCAATACGAGGTAATTCTTTTCGAACACCATCCCGTTGAACTGCACTACCAATGATAGGTGCTCCACTAAATTCAATAAAACAAAAAAACAATTAATACAAATCGATTATATTAAATATTGAATATCTTACAAAGAAATAGGTGGAGTAGGTAAAAGACCACGTTGTTGTTCTGGTGTTTGTCGGAATTTAAATAATGAATGATTTAATTGACGAGATAATCCATGTGTTGATGAAGATATTGTTGCTATTGGATTAGCTGTTGTTACAGGCGCTGTTGTAGACGTTGTTGTTGATGTTGTACTTGCAGCTGTAGAAGTCGTTGCTGTTGTCGTTGTTGTTGCACTATCAGTTGTTGTTGTTGTTGTTGTTGTTGTTGTTGTTGTATTACCGTTATTATTTGTATTAATTGGTTTAATCATTGTAGTTGTATTCATTGGCGGAGCTGCCGGATTGAATGGTGTATTTTGTTTTTGCATATTGTACATACGTCTTGGACATAATGTAACACGAATTTCACGACCAAACAATTCTTTTCCTAAAAGAAAAAAACAACCAAATATTAAAAAAAGAATACTCTATTGATTACCATTAAAATAATTAATAGCCGTTTGACATGATTCAGGATTGATAAATGTAATTGTAGCTTCACCTTTACCTTCACGTGTTTGTCGATCTTTATAAACCCAAATTTTTGGTTTTGGTGAACGTACATCGACCTGAATTACATCATAAAAAAATTTAACAAAGAAAAGTTCTCAAGTGATAAATCGTTTTTAAGCTGAAACTATATTAAATTGATACGGTCTAATGAGTAAGAAAATATCCTGGAATGATTCGAGTCGCTGTGTCTTAGTTTTCAAGCAAAATTATATTTTTGAATTTTGACCCAAAACTTTGCCTAAATAAAGGCACTGATTACAGTAGCTTGTAAGAAGAATTTTAGAATTTTTTGGTCAAGTGTCTCCAAGATATGAGCTGTTTAAAATAAAATCGCTTTGCCATGATTATTATTAAAAACATGGATGTTTTCAAAAATTCGGAAATTTTTTCGACGAACTAATCTAATCGATGACTTTATGTTGGCAAACTTTCAGATCAAAATTCAAAAATATAATTTCACTTGGAAATTGGAACCGTACAGGAGAAATCCTAGATATAGGCAAGATGGGTCCGATCACGGGATCAATTTTTTTTTTATTGGGAGTACTATCTTTTATGGTTGTGTAAAACTTGCGTTAAATCTCATTTTCTCACAACTCATGTGTTCTAAAAACTTATATGAAAATTATTGAGTATTGATCACTTCAATAGTTGCTGTTACAATTTTAATAATAAAAAATGAACCCTTTTTTTCGTTAACAACAGAGTTGTCGAACACCAACATGCAGAATAGACGACGTATCAGTGAATTCAAAAAAAATAATAAACTTGCACGAAACCAGAATCGAAAATTTTTCTTCTGACTGGAATCGGCATCAAAAACGATTGGTTCTGCCCATCACTAAAAAACTTCACTAAATATTCGGAATCTCAGCAGCTTGAATCACTCGATAGTATTTACATACTCATTAGGCTCTATCGATTAAATATCGTCTTAACTTAAGAGCAATTTGTCACTTGAGGATGTGTTTCCTTGTGAGAAAACGAAAAAATTCTTACCGGTGCAATAGGTCCACATGCAGCACTAAATACTTCAGCTAATGTTTCATTTTGAATTTCTTTTGGTAAACCAGTTATATAGACAACATGTCGAAGAAGTGCATTTTCATCACCAGGTTCTATAGAAATATTTAATAAAATAAATGTAAACAAATCAAAATAAATCGAATAATTCATAGAACGATATTAGAAAAAAAAAAGAAAATGAAATGAAATAAACAATAACGCTAACGGAGTAATATAACCAAATTAAAACAAATATCATAAATAGACAAAATTCTCAACACTTGAAACAAAGAGCGATAAACATCATTCAATCTTTTAATATCACACATACGCAAACATATAGAACAAGGAAAAATTCTTTTATCTGATGAATCTTTTCTTTTCTTTCTTTTGTTTTTTTTTTTTTGTTATCTTTAAATCTCTTGTAAAAGCAAAAAAAGACACAAAACAGAAACTGCTGAGCGGAAATAAAGAAAGGAAAAAAAAACAGAGTTTTACTTACCATCAAGTTCACGTTGATAGCCCCCTCGAGGTGGCAAACTGGAATACACAAGAAGATAATAGAACAATGTTTGTCGTGAAGTTTAAATTGTCAAAAGATAGAAAAAAAAGAAAACAAAAAAAAACCAACAACACAAAAATCCTTTTCTTTTTTGTTTTGTATACAAAAAAACCAAAAACAAAAATTTATATAAGAAAACATATGACGCAATTTTTTTTTGTAAATATGCAGTACTAAATCAACCTAAAATTAGATAAAATATTTTAAATTCAATATTAGCAAATAGTACATATATATATATATAATTTCTATATATATGTATTTGCTATTGTATATCGATCCTAGAAAAGTACAAAGAATAGAATAATAACTGATCCAAAAACACATTACATAATAATAGAACACAAAATATTCAATTGTTGTTATTTTTTTTTTATGCCGAAACATTAAAGAACAAAAACTTAGAAAAATAAAACAATACGAAAGAGCGATAGAACAAAGCAAAATATTCACAAAAAATCAAAATTAATATTTTTTTTTTTCGGTGGGGGAGATAAATTCACTTACCGATAATGCATTGGCTGTGCTTGATGTGAAACATAATGCATTGAATGAGGCATTTGAGGTGGTGGATAATAATCTGGTCGACGTGGCATCATACCAGCTGTTGGCGGAGGTGGACCATAGACATGAGATGGAGGTGGATGTGCACCTATTGCTCCTGAAAGATGACTACCAGGCGGAACACCATATGTTCCATGTGGTGGTGGAGCTGAACTAGGATATGTCGAATAGGCACTTGTCGATGACGAACCATTTGTTGCAGATACGGATTTATATGGAGAATAAGCAGCACTTGTTGGAGGTCCACCAACATATGCAGCTAAAACACGAAAAAAAACAACGATTTGATAAAAATAATAGAATTATTTATACCAGCAGCACTTGATGTATAATCATAAGGTGCATAATGAGCAGTTGCTGATGCTGGTGGTGGTGGTGTCATACGTCTTGAATCATATGTATAGCCAGTTGCTGTTGGCGATGAACTATAAGATGGTGGATATGATGGTTGATTTGCAGTTGCTGGTGGAGCACCGGCACTAGTAGCTGTTGTTGGATAACCATAAGCCGCTGCTGAATAACCAGAATATGGATCTACACTTGTATAAGGTGAACTAGTCGAAGCAGCACCTAAACAAGAAAAAAAATTTTAATTCAATTAATCCTATCGAAATAGTTTACTTGTAGGATAAGTTGCAGATGCTGCATAACTATCATATGTTCCAGGTGGTGCATAAGATGCACTTGTTTCATAACCTGGATAAGATGAATAAGCTGATGATGAACTTGTATCATATGAATAATCATAAGCTGAATAATCGTATCTGAAAAAAACAAATAAAAGTTTTTTTTTTTTTCAAATGCATGAGAAATTAAACTACATACGTCGGTTGAGTTGTTGCCATCCTTTGAAAATAGATAATCTGAAAAGTAAAAACAAAGAAATTTTATTTTATTGCAATATAATCATTAGAGAAAAAGAGATGTAATGGCAAGTTTAAATGCGATAAATATTTTATTTTGTTTATTATATAGTTGTTCAACGGGATTTATCTCATCCACTTGACATATCAATAGCAACAGCTTGTCGAATATATTTTTCATCTTTTAATATATCCAACATAAAACGAGCTACATTAGCTCTTGGTATTTGATTAGCTGTTGATTGATTAGGAAAAAAATAATCATTTTCATTAACTTTAACTTCTTTTTCTAAATTATTAAAAAAAAAAATAAAAAAAAAAATTAACGAAAAACAAAAAGTACTAAAAATTTTAAACAAACCAATAATATGTTCATCAAGTAAACGTGGTGGCCGAATAATAGTGTAATCAATATCTTGACATTCATTTTCAAGATATTGTTCCATTATATACATTGAATCCAGATGACGCCCAATCATTGGACGAATAATAAGTCTAAATTTAAATGGATATATTTCAGGTTGATCTAAATTATATTCATTGAAATATACAAAAAAAACAAAATATATTTCTTCAAAAAAAAAAACAAATTTACATTTTGTATAAAATGATGTTATACATATTAATCGTTTGATATTTGCATTACGCATTGCAGTTACAATTGATTTCATTGAATCTTCATAAAAAGTCATTGCCGACATTTGAAGACCAGGTTGACCGAGTGCTGATAAAACAGCAACATGTCCTTCTAAATGTTTAGCTAATTCCAATGGATTCATTAAATCACATTTAATCACCTAAAACAAAAAAAATCATGATTTGTTTGTTTTTTTTTGTTTAATATTCATCAGATTAATTTGAAATAATTTACTTCAAGATTTTTATGTGCAAGATGTGCTAATTTGTCTGAATTTCGTACAAGTGCAGTTACTTTATAATTACGTGCTAATGCTTGTTCAACAAGTTGTAAACCAGTATTTCCTGTTGCACCTACGATGACAATTTTTTTATTTGTATCATCTATTGAAGTCGCCATTGTTTGATTGAATAGAGATAAGTAAAACAGAATGAATGAATGAATGAATGAATAAATATGCGAAAAAATATTTGTGTTGGTATTTATAGTCAACCAATCATATTAAATTTCAAAATGACATCTATCAAAGGTCATATTTTCATTTAGAGGTTTAACTATAACAACAAATTTCATGAGGATAGAAAGGTTTTTCTTCTGGGTATTGTTATTCTTTATACTTTGAAAAAAAAGAGAAAAGTGTCTGTTAACCTTGATCTCAATTATTCTAATGGAATTACATACAGGTAAAAGTTTCGATAGTGACAATGATCAAACAAATCGACAACGACAAAGTGGTGTTGAAGATACGTTAAGAAGTGATCATAGTTCAAGAATGGATTTCAATAAACATGGAATATTTGTTGAACGTACACTTGCTTTAATTAAACCAGATGCTATTAATACAGCCGATGAAATTGAAACAATTCTTCTTAATCATGGTTTTGCTATTTTACAAGTTTGTTATTGAAATTAAATTAAAAGAAAATTAACGCATGATGCATAATAAATAGAAATGTCAATATTTTTCTAATATCTTATTCAGTTCTCGGCATTTTATTGAAAGATTATGCTTTTAGTTCTTTACAAAACTATATATATATATATTTCTAGCGATGAAAGTATGTTTCATAGTTTTCGAATATCTAATAGAAATGATTGGCTTAATATTATCAACTTTCCAACTGATTAGAAAAGCTCTCTAAGTATCAAATTGCTTTTCGACTGAGATGATACTCATTTGATGAGTGTTAGTGAGTAATGAAAAAGTCTAAAATGATTTGGTTTTCCAAACCTTTGTTCTCGAAATATCGAAGTTTTACTAAGTTTTTCCAGCCCTCAGGTTATGTAGAAAAATGACTTTCGAGTTTCGACTTTAAACTTTGCACGAATAGAGTTCTCAATGAAATTAGTTCATTGAGCAAATTGTAACTTTTCTAGTATTTCCTATCTTAAGATGTTCGATATTCGAAATTCTCTTATGTGTAAAAGCAAATTTTGTTCATATATTTACATCTTCAGAAAGGAAATACTAGAAAAGCTAACATTTGTACAATCAACTAATCTCATTGAGAATTTTGTTCATGTAAAATTTGAAGTCGAAACTCGAAAGTCATTTTTTTCATGTGATCTGAGAAAGGTCACAGACTTTTGTTGAACAATCCAATAAAATTCCGATACCATCAGAACGAAGGCTTGAAAAACTAAACCATTGTAGATTTTTCTATTATTCACTAGTACTCATCAAATGAACATTGTCTCAGTCAACAAACGATTTGACACCTAGAGAAATTCCCTTGTTAGTCTTTCTTCAAAATATTATTATCAAACTTTTTAGTCCTCAAAGTAATGTTTTTTTCTTCTACTTTAAGTTGTTCCGATTTGTTACTTAAAAATTTTCATTTCAAATGTAATAGTCTAAATAATTTCTACCTTGATTGTTCGAAGTCAGATGAATATTATCAAAAAAATCGTTGAAATTATCTTGACACTGGCCATCAATTAATTGATGATATATGAATTCGTATTATCATTTTGAAATATGTTGAAATCCCTGGGCGATAAGAATAAGGTTGTTGGTAATAATTAAGGATTTCAACATATTTCAAAGTGATGATACAAATTCATATATCATCATTTAATTGATGGCTGGTGTCAAGATAGTTTCGATGATTTTGTTTTGATAATATTTATCGGACTTCGAATAATCAATGCCGAAATCAGTTAAACTATTACATTTGAAATGAAAATTTTTAATAATCAAATTGGAACAACTTAAAGTAGAAAAAGAAAACATTACTTTCAGAATTAAAAAGTATGATTACAATATTTCTTCGCAAAAAAAAGCTAAGTGGAAGAGTTGAACATAGTAAACGAATGTTTTCTATGGAGTATTTGAAAACTGTAGAACATGCTTTCATTAATAGAAATATATAGTTTTGTAGAGAATCAAAAGCATAAACTTTGAATAAAATGGTGAGAACTGAATGAGATATTAGGAAAAAAATACTAATACTGCCATTTATTCTTCGTCATCCGTTAGTATTAATTAACTTTTTTTTTTTTTGGATTTGATCTAGAAACGACGTGTAACATTAACAGCTGAACAATGTTCCGATTTTTATAGTGAACATTATGGAAAAAAATTTTTTCCAAGTTTGGTTGCATTTATGACAAGTGCTCCAATAGTTGCCATGGTTTTAACAAAAGAAAATGCAATTCAACAATGGAGAGAATTAATTGGACCAACAAATTCAATTGTTGCAAAAGAAACATATCCTGATAGGTTAATTTGATTTTATTTGTTCGTTTTTTAATAAAATAGTTTTATTTTGTTTTGTTTGATATAGTATTCGAGCATTGTTTGGAACTAATGAACAAAAGAATGCAGTACATGGTAGTGATAGTGCAGTGAGTGCTGAACGTGAAATTCGATTTTTCTTTCCGAATTGTAAGTAAAAGCGAAAAAAGAAAAGAAACTATATAAATTAAAGTTAATTATTCATATATGAAGGTATTGTTGAACCAATTCCAATTGGACAACCGGCAAAAGATTATCTTGAACAAAATGTTAATAAAACATTAATAAAAGCATTGACAGCTTTATGTAAAGAAAAACCTCAAGATCCAATAGTAAGTTTTATTCAATTATAAAAATTATTATTTATTATTTCTTTTCTCTTAAAGTTATGGTTAGCAGATAAATTGATGGAAATAAATCCATATAAACCAAAATTAAGTCAAGTAGAAATACCATCATCTTTTGATGATAGACACGTATGATCGTATGACAATGCAAGATAAACGATATTTATAACAATGTTATAACGAACTCATATTTCAATATTTTTTCCTTTCGTACATAGAAAAATGAAAGAAATTGCAATAAGAAATCATTAAATAATAATCTCATATGTTTTCGGATATTGTTTGATTAGAAATTTAATTCTGAATGTTTCGTATTGAATAACATAGTATTAACCGAATATTTAATTCAGTCATTACTATTCCGTACTAGAGATCAAGAAAAAGAATCATATTTGCCTAAGTACGGATTTTCCAAGTTATGCTCTTAGGAAATATAGGGATACTGGTCTTTCTAGTATGTTCTTCCTCTTCAAACAGAATGGGCTCTACATGCTGAAGAGAATAAACACGGAAACGATTTTTTTACCGTGGCTAACAAGCCTGTTTTGTATGATGTAGGTAGACAAGTATCTTAGTCATACTATAACTATCCTAAAAGCATATGCGAACACTAAAGAATATATAAATTAGTAATTTTTGTACAATACTAATTTCTATATGTTTTCACACATTGTCATGATATCTCGAATTAGCTAATTAATCTTGCTTCCATAGAAGACAATGAGTGTTGATTCGTTAGTTTATATATAGCACATATTCATTGAAATATATCGTATCTCTATGGAAAGTTCCGAAGAAAAGTCATATATTTATTAAAAGTTCTATTTTTATCAGAAAAAAAAACATTCATAGTAAATTTTTTGTATAAAATGCTGCTTGAAAGTCAACATTGGAACACACTTTTCGACACCATTCTAAAATTTTTTTTAAAGTTTTTTTTTAAAAACCATTTTGTAAAGGAAACAAAGCTGTATAACATATATGAAAATCAGTGTCGGATCTTTTAAAATGACTGAATGACAGTTGATACACTGTAAAAAATTGACATACTTTTCACTCAAAAAATGACTAGTCATGTATAGTATTTAATAGATACCTATGGATTCATCGATAGAAATATAATATGTAAATAGCTAATTTTGTTCAGCTTTCGACACTCTATCTTTTGGTATATTGCACAAAAAATTTCGTTAACTTGTTATTATTTGAAAATACTCAATTTTAGAAGATTAATTTTTGACGATAATTTTGAAATATACTA